TGTGGGTTGGGTGAGCAGAAGGACAGCCAGCAGGTCGAGGACAGGGATTGTTCACTTCCACCTAGCGCTTGTGGAACCACAACTAAAGTGCTGCATTCGGCTTGGGGTTCCCCAAATCACATTGCATGGGAATGAAGCCAGCTGAGGCCTCCAAGGTAGTCTGGGCTGGAGCACAGGACAAATGAGGACAGGCAGGGTTTGACCAGCTGAAGGTGACAAAGCTCAGAGGGATTTTTTTTGCTGCTTACGACAACCCAGTGGAAGAATAGAGAGAAGCTGAAGCTATGTTTTTCTTGGTGGTGCACAAGGGCAGGACAAGAGGCGACAGAACGAGTTGGGACACAGGGAATTCCAGTTAAATATTAAGGGGGAAAAAATCATCATAAGGGCAGTCAAACACTGGATCAGGGCCCAGATGACCCATGGACCTATGCCCATGGCATCTCCATCCTTCTAGATACTGAGAACACAGCTGGACAAAGCCATCAGCAACCTGATGCAGCTGGCACTGGATGGCCGGTAGTCCAAGGGGGACATCCATGCTACAAACACAGCCAATGCCATAGGGTAGCTCCATTGCAGTGTGGTGCCCGTGCTGAGGTTCTGTCCCATGGCACCAAAAATTCAAAATCACATCAGCAGTGCACTGGGTACCGTGGCAAAACCGACACAAACAAGGGCCAGGGACTTTTTCACACGAATGGTATGTTCCTGCCAGAAAACCGCCTTAACTCAAGCTCACCCCACACTTCCTTGGGTGACAGCTACAACAGTCACATCGATACAGCTCACCCGTCACACACACACCTCCCGACAGTGCTGCTTGCCAGTGCTGCCAGAGCTGTCAGCTCCTTTTACCCGCAGTGCACAAGCAAAGCCAATACAGCAACCCGGGGACAATACTGCTCTGTGCCCCTGTGCCAGCTACCCTCCTGTCCAGCACACACAAGCATGCACACTGGGCACATGCACATGTCCCAGCACTCCAGGAAGACACAGGGCTGCAGGAGCCCAGAGTCGGAGACCAGCCAGGTCCAATGTCAAAGCCCTGAAGCAGAGCAGTGTGCTACGTTGCCCATCTCAGCCTCCCAATGCCTTGAGCTGCACCTCAGAGGAGCTCCTCTCCCCTGGTTACTAGGAGACCCTAGAGAAATGCTAGGAAATGGCTAAATTACAACAAAATCTGCCACTTCCTTGACCACAGCTGAGTGAGTTGGGGATGTGCAGCCAGGAGAAGAGATGGTTCTGGGAAGACCTTACAGCAGCTGTATATAGATGGCTGTATAAAGAAAGATTGAGACTTTTGACCAGGGCCAGCAGTGACAGGACAAGGGGCAGCAGTTTTAAACTGAACAAGGGTGGGCTTAGGTTGGACATGGGGAAGAAATGTTTAACTGTGAGGGTGGTGAGACCCTGGCCCAGGTTTCCCAGAGAAGCTGTGGCTGCCCCATCCCTGGAGAGGTTCAAGGCCAGGTTGGATGGGGCTTGGAGGAACCTGGTCTGGTGGGAGATTAGGCAGAGGGTTTGGACTGGATGATCTTTGAAGGTCGCTTCCAATCCAAACCATTCCATGACTCTATGATGGAGCAGAGCCTTGCATCCCACTCTCCCATATGCCAGGATGATGTCTGAACCACAGAGCTCCAACATGGAGCAAATCTAAACCCTGGCCTGGGGCTACACAACAACGATTTGTGGCCACCTCTAGTTTCCTCAGACATTGCAGAAGTAATACTTTTGCCTGGGAAACATAGGCACACCACAGCTGACACCAGGGACAGCCATCTTCAACTGCCCCCTCCCTGCCACTGCCACCCAGCACTTGCATTTGAGCTCCTGAAGGGCACAGTGCAGAGCACAGCAGCGCAGAAGGCCTGGTGGGGGCTTTCACAGCAAAGCTGTCAGCACACAGCAGTGTCTCTGCAGTAGGAAGGGCAGAGGATTTTTCTGGGAAGAGATCTGCTGACTTCCCCCGACACTGCCCAGCTAGAGCAGAGCTCTGCCCATGCCAGGACCCCTCCGGAAGGGACAGGAGAGCTGGTGTCCACAGGGACTTGCTGCTCTCCTGCTTTTCTGTGTGCTGTTGCACCATCCTTTGCTTTGGCTTTGCTATGCCCCAGCAATTCTCCTTCCCACTTGCTCTAGAGACAACCCTGAAGCCTTTCTCTTGCTTTTTCAGGGCCAGGAGGGTGCTGGGCTCCAAGTTGGAAGCTGTCTCTGCAGAGGTGATCATTTAACGTCACCACTGTATTGAATTGGCACCGATTGCCACATGGGAGAGGTGACTATGTGAGTGGCTTCCCAGACTGAAATGGAGATACAACTATAAATGCCAAATCCCCTCTGTTGTCACTGTGGAGTGCTTAGAGAAAGTAGAATTTTTACTGAGCTTTATTTGTGCATAAACCCCCTGTGAGAGCAGCAGATCCATGCCTGGCTCCCCACTCTTGGGCATTAAAAAGCAATGCTGGCAGCTCCCACTGCCTTTATCAGTTTAATGGTTTGCTAAAACACAATCTTCAGGGCAGAACAAGGCCTTGCTTCACTGCTCCAAGACGCCTTGTTTTCATCCACTCCTCCAGTACGACCAGCAGGGACAAGGCACTGGAGCTCCCAATGCAGAGGCAGATTCCACTGCTGGAGCAATGACTACATCTTGTCAGGTGCTCTTTCACCAAAGGATCACTAGGAGGTCAGCCAACCCACAGTAAAAACTACACAGCAACCCTGCTTGGTGGGGCAGAAGACAAAGTTTCAGCCCAGAGGGGGCTGATTTTAAGAAGCTGTGACAACGACATGGAGGATCCAAAGCCATAAAACATCATGGTCTTTCACAATCACTTTCCCACAAGAATTAACCCACATTTTCAGCCCATTACTGAGTTGTACGGCCAAGTTATACCACTTGTTTGCTTTGTATACTTTTTCTGGAGATGAATAATCTTCTCTATCTAACGCCATTTCATCAAGCTAAACTAGATCAGGTTTTAGAGCTCAGGCCACAGCTGACAATGGATGGACTTAATAAAAAGTGTCACGGTCACACAACACAAGGTGCCAACCCAGCACAAATTAACTCTTTTGGATCCACTTTCCTCTATAACCTGGAGTTGACCTCTTTGTGGGTGCAGTGCCAGGTGCCACCTACGCTCCCCTGCATGGTGCAAGCAGAGTGTGGCAGCTCTGGTCAGCACCAAGTCTTGCACACGTGCTGGGGCCAAGGGGCCACCATGCCTATGCCTGATCCAGACAAACTTACACCACTGGCTGATCCAACAGAGGCCACTAGAGCTACAGCCTTGTCTCTCCTGCCTCCATCCCTATATGGTCTGCGATCCTGGGATGTCCAAGACAATTGCATAGCTCTGACTTCAGAAAATCAGTGAAAGCATGTCCTATTTTCACAAAGTACACATTATTTAAGAATTCAAGCCCTGGTTTCAAAAGCAGCTGGAGACCATGGGGAACCTTGTCTTATGAGACCTCAGGTCATCAATGGTCAAATGCTTCTGAGTTAACCTGAGACCTGTGAAGATTCTGCAGGCTGTGTGAGCAGTGTATGAAGCTCAGTCATCTCCCCTGTCCCCAGCTTCCCCCCAACGTCCTTTCCCTTGGCACTCCCCAGGTGCTCTGTACTGCCCTCCCAGGTTATGCCTGCCCGCTGCTTCCCCAAGGAACTTTTCTTTTGGCACCTTCTGCCACACTGTTGGCCTTGCCATGGCCCCATTGGCAGTTCTCTCTCTGTTGGTGTGCTCAAAGTCTTCCCAATAGCACCACACCACAGATATCAGAGAGATGTTTGTGACCAGTCCTCGCTTTCCAGCTGCCTCGGGCCAGGACCTGAGCAGTGCTCAGCAGGGACATCTGCAGCAATCAGACCTTCCCACCGCAACCAGCTGCTCCTGAGAGAAAAGCCTCTCTACAAGACACTCCAACATTTCTTTCACCAAGTACTTCTAAGCTATTTCTTGACTTTGGATCAGTGGGAGGGAAGTTACTCAGAATTTTAGGATAATTCAGGCTGGAAGGAACTTCATGAGGTCATGCAGCCCAGCCTCTGGCTCAAAGCAGGATCCACAACTTCCAGTTTCTAGCACATGCTGTTGGACTCAAGGACAAGCCCAACATCCCTCCACTCGTATCTCTTATAGAGCAAACACGCTCCACCCGGCCTTGTCTGCAGCCTGAAGTACAAGCAGCAAGAGTCTTCATCACAACTGAGCATAACACAGCCTCAGGACCATACAGACAGAGGGAGGCACACCCCATCTCTACCTCTACCCTCAGCTAAGCCCATCAAAAGAAGGTGCTAGTTACTGGTGGTTTCATGGGAACATGAGGAAGAGTTGTGTCAGCCCTTCAAAAGACTAACATTTCCTCAACTGTGAAGTCACATCGATGGCTGGTGGAGGGGCAACCACAGCCCCAACAGACAGGAACATTTCCAACAGGATGCAGGCCTGCACAGTACTTTCTGAAAGACCATCCATCTTCTTAGATTAAGTGAAATTTTAGGTGAGTTACCCAGTTGCATCAGTAAGCCTTGGTCTCACCTATGAGCTCTTCAAGCATGCTTCCAGGCACTCTAGAAACACAGAGCCTTCGGGTTTCTGAACACAATGCAAGCAAACGTTCTCCCCCAAAGCTGGCACTTCAGAGGGTATTTTTGCTCCAGTCAAAGTCAGCTTTAGTGAGATGCTTAACATGGATGTGAAGAAACCCACCTGCCTGTTCATCCACACAGACACCCAGACTTGCACACAAGGACAAAGCCGATGCTTGCTGCCCTCCCCTCCACAGCTCCCACTGCACATACTTAAGTTACACGTCTTTCAGGCTGGCTTTTTGCTGATCCATTTGGAAATGTGCTGCATTACTTTGCCCAATATTTTTATACTAGAACTTGATTGCTCTAAAGCCAAGCACAGCTCTCCTCTCCCATCACCTCATGGGATCCCTCAACTGCCTTCCCTTCCCAGTGCCACAGGGCAGAGACTCACCTGAGTTTTCCGTATCCGCAGGTCAGCAGATGACCTGTTCAATCCTTCCTCTTGTTCAATACTCTGCTCAATACCTGGTCGGGGTAGAAGGACACAGATTATTTTGCGCTGTTTAGAGAAGAAAAAAAGGGTATCTGGCAAAAGGATTGTAAAAAACTGAGGTCCGTGAATCGAGGTGCATCTGGCACTGAGCAGTCCCCAGCTCCTGACTATCGCCCACAATTTAGCCTGGACTGGCAGCAAAGCCCATTTCATTACTGCAAAGCACTCAGTGCCTGGCCATCAGCCAAGACTTGGTGCTGTCAAGGGCAGCACCCGTCACTCTAGGGCTGGTAAGTGAGGGTTTCAATACAAAATTGATGTAATGTTGGGGTTTGACCCCTGTACTTTCTGGTATTCAAATAAAATACAGTGCTGTTCTCCCCCTGCAAGGCAGAAGGAGGAAACCCAGAGCTAAAATGTCTCTGAAAAATACAAAAGCTCCAGGGACCCTAAAAATAGTACATCTGCCAGCTGCCTGGCCTTGCACGGGGAGGACCCACCAGGCTGGCAAGAGCTGAACAGTCCTCTGCAGCAAAGCAGAGATTTGTCCTTTTAATTATGCCACATAATGCAACTAAGGGATGAATTCCTCACCTGCCCAGAGACCATAAATCAGAAAAGAGAAGAGCACTGCCCTGCTCAGCATCCCATTGCAGTTCGAGCATGGAAAGGGCATGGGGTTGCAGGGCAGGAGGTCTGGCACAGAGCAAGGCAGTGCAAATGGCCTCCTCAAGGCCAGCTCAGGACATGCTAGTGTCTGAATTAACTTAAATTCAGGGACTTAAAAGGCCTGGAAGAAAGCTCTCATCAGCAGGCTGGCCCAAGTGTGCAGAAATACATGTTTTCGTGTAGACCACCAGGTGTGAGCTGGTGGCATCCCTTGAGTTTGCTGATGACTCCATTCCCAATGCAGATGTCCCACAGCTCTCAAAGACTGGCTGTACCCAGCACCTTCCATGCTAGAGCAGGTCCCATGAGCTCAGCGTGGGGCAGGTTCCTCCTGCAGCAGGGGTTCCCCATTCTCTTGAGCTGCCCAGTGGCTCCCAATTACAACCCAGTGCAGCAGGACTGAGCGCAGGACACCACTGCCGCATTGGGCTCCTGTGTTTCTGCTGGTTAGCACGGGTGGCCCCACAGTACCACCCTGCAGAGAGTAGCAGTGCTGTAAGGAAGACTGTGGGCCTGGGGAACCCTTCATGGTACTGGCAGAGGGTGTCCAACAGCATGGCATGCTCCGGGGAAGTGTTGGAGAACATCAGCACAAATTCTGCACTCCCTCCTACTCTCTCCTGGAACAAGCGTCTGTATCCAGAGCTGATGGGAAAGACCCTGTTCAAAACAGCCAGACGGCCATGGATTTTCTCCTGTGCACCCCCCTGCCTGTGAGGGCACTCCCTGCTGCCTGCCCAGCTTATTTCATCATCAATTGGTCTTCCTCCACACTTGTCATAAATCACTCCCTGTTCCCAAGAAACAGTATTGGCAAACATTGTGCATTTATGATAATTAATAAAATCACATTTTCCCAAGAAGCTGGTAATTAGAATTAGCCACTGCATGAGCAATGTCTGTCCTAAAGAAGTCAATCCATTGTCAGCAGATGGTGTTTTTGATCAGTCCTGACTGTTTTCTTTCACTGATCATACTGGCCATGAGGCGGTTTGGGTTAAAGCACAAGGACTAACAATCTGCTGCTCCAGGTAAATTTGATACCGGTGAGTTTTTTCTTGAAGAAGAAAACAGTAATTGGAGCCTGTCCTGCAAACCTTTAGGCTCTGAAAGCCCCTTAAAAAACACAGAACAAAGTACCTATGGAAAAGAATTTTTGTTTTGCACAGTCTACACCCTGTCCCCACCTGGACACCAGGAATCCCAGTATGGCTGGAGGCTTTGGTCTGTGGGAAGGGTCCATGGTTTATGAAACAGGTTAGCTGGCTCCTAGCTCTCCTTTGGGTATAGCTGAGATCACATATCAGGAAGGCAGAGGGCAGCAAGGGGACAACGGAGCTACAAGTCTTCTAGCGCACACAGAGGACATGGTCATGCCACTAGTGACAAATCCAACCAATGGCTCCAGATGTATCTAAGTCCTCCACGACTGTGGAGCTCCCAGAAAACCCTGGGATTAGGGAGAATGCTGCTACCATGGGGGAAGCACCAGCTCCTCTCCCACCCTTCAGACACGGCCAAATCTTTTGCAACTAGCAACCAAATCCCACGCTGAAGGCCAAGACCTCTGCAAGTCAATCTGAGCTGTGCTGGGATGATCTGCCTCCTGCCTCAAGATGCTGCTGCTCTCACTGACCCCCTGAATCCCTGGGGTCCAATCTTGGGCTTGTCTGAATGCTCTAGCACAAGTCAGCCATTGGCAGCCTGACAGTCATGTTATTCTCCCCATTTGTCAAAGAGATTGAATGATCTTCCAATGGTGGAAACCAATGGTCACACTGGCCTTGCTCTGTGCCTGCACTAAGACAGAGGCACGCCAAGACAATGGGGTGTGCTGATGAGACAGATTAACCTGCCCAAGCCCAACGGCCCCTTTCTTCCCCACTACCTGGCCCACAGAGCCCATGTCCAGGGCAGTGCTACCTCCTGCCTCCAGTGTAACCGGGACAGGCAGGAGGCACCGCTGCCTTGGACAGAGCCACCAGCGGTGCAGCCTATACTGGGGATGGAAAAGCAAAGATCAGTCTGGTGGGAGCAGAATGCGGGCAGCGAGAAACAGGAGTTCCAGGGCAACATGTCTTGTGCTAGCACACTGCTGGAGAGCCGAGAGCACCACCTAGCCCAGCTGGAGCCTCACAGGGAAAAGGGACCATGGCTCTCCATCGACATCTCGGTGCTGCACCTGCCTATGCTGCCTGTGCCAATGTGGCTCATGTCTTTTTGGAGGCTTGCAAGGCCCACAGCAGCACCTCTTCAACCACTCAGCCCTGGCTACCCAACCTTTAGCCATGCCGTGGCTTTACTCAGAGCCACTCTCTCACTGGGAGAGTCCAACACCTGCCAGTGCTGGTGGCATGGGACTTGCTTGCAGCCCATCAGGTTCTCATGGCCCCGTTCCCTCACCTCCATTTGGAATGGGGTACAAGGGCATAAATTCACAAAGGGCAAATAAAAGCAGCTAGAGGATGCTAGGAGGAGGGAAGGTCATGCCCATCCCCAGGTGATCCCTGCAAAGCAATTGCAGATGCCACTTCTGTCTGTCCCTTACCCCAGCTCTGCGACCTCTCCCAGTGCCAGCTCAGGATGCCAGATGGGGCCAGGCTGTGCATATGTAATGTTCCCTTTGCTCCTAGAGCAAACCACCCCAGAGCGGTCTTGACCCAAATAAGATGCAAGCTAGCGCTGGTACAGGGTTAGGGTGACAGCCAGTGCCCCCACAGCATTTCTGGTCACGGGGTGAGTGGGAAGCACTGAGCAACTGGGGCACGGAGCAGGACCTGGGGCAGCAATGCTCCCTGCCTGCTGCATCCCCAGTCTGGCATGGGAACCACGGTACCTGCTACTGGGGCTGCAGGGCAGGAGCGCAGAGGGCAGAGCCCCACAGCAGCATCCCAGGCAAATACTCACTCTTTAGCTTGGAGCGCACTTTGTTTGCCGTCTTCTTTATGTCAGACATCAGCTCTTCCAGCTCCTCTTTCGTTTCTGAAGAGAAAGAAAAGAGCAAACACAGATGCGTTGGTGACACCATGAAAATCTGCTGCCTGGCTCCATAGCGTGTGGAGACCAGAGCTGCGAGCACTCCCACCTCCAGACTGGGAGCGCTTCCACCCCACACACCCCGTTGGACTCTCCTCACAGTCCCGAGCCTGGAAATGATGCTGCTGCTGGTTGGGAAGCAGGAAGCTGAGGAGCCGTTCTGCAGGACCTCCTGCCCCCAAAGCCTAACCTGCCTCATAATCAGGTCTCTGCAGAAAGTGGGGGTGGGGTGGGATACACAACCCACAGTGTTGGTTCCTGCAGTAGAGAGAAAACCACTGCCAGACACCAAAAATCTTATGCTCTCCAAGGGCTCCTGCCACGCCAGCCAGCCCACCCCGGGGCATTATGAAAGGTCACGCCTTCCACCGGCACCCCCTGACTAAGCCAGAGTGTGTGTGTGTTCACTCCCCAGCTTGAATTTGCTGCTTTTGCCAGAAAAGTAAGGGTTGAAGGGGCCAGAAACCCCCCCATTTCCCCGAGCCCACATCTCAGGAATGACTTGGAGCAGCCTGGCAGCAGTGGGAGGATGTAAAGCTGTTCTTGTATTTTAACAGGTAGGGGCACAGGACTTGCAAATAAAAACAAGTACAAGCAAGTCCCTTCCTTCCTGTCCCCACAGGCATCCCAGGCCTGCCTGCGTGACCTGTACACAGCTCCCACCAGGAGAAGAGCCCGTCAGTGACTCTCAGCATCTCTCCAGAGGGGACTTCAGCCCCATCCCTGGAGGAGTTCAAGGCCAGGTTGAATGGGGCTTTGAGCAACCTGGTCTAGTGGGAGGTGCCCCTGCCCAGGGCAGGGGATTGGACTGGATCATCTTTCCAAACCACTCTGTGAGTGTGTGATCTCAGCCAGGTTCCTCTCCCAGAACCCTGTGTCCTCAAAGGAGCCGAGATGTGCAGGTGTGCCCCTCGCCACCCTGTGCTGCCGGACCCCCTGCACTCAGCAGGAGGGCTGGAGCCGGGGGCACAGACCTTCATGCTGTGCCCCTGCAAAAAAAGATGAGTGGTACGAAAGGCCCTGTGCTCACCTATGGGCTTGTGGCAGCCCAGCTGACTTGCCAGGGATACAACCATGCCCCAGCCCTGGAACTGGTCAACGCCAACACTCAGCAGTGAGACCAGCATGTTGGAAGATCTCAAGATCCAGATACTAAAGAAAGTACAAACCACCTGCAATTCAAATATGATTTCTCGGAAATGCAATGCTGCCACCCTAATGCTCCCTCTTGATTTTGATGAGATCAAGACTTACTTAATTAAATAAAACTTTGTTTAATAGACTCTAGGCACATTAACTGAGTCATTTCGATGGCTGTGGTAGCTCTGATGCTGTACACTCCCAGCTGGCAGTCACAGGCATAATTAGAAAAACATGATGATGGGAATGTGCTGGGGGAAGGTCACATCCTATTGACAGTTGTACACATTTCTGACTCAGAGGTAAGAGTTTTGGCACTATTGGGAAAAGGAGAAAATGAGCACGTCTGTGAATACCCTCAGCCCAGGCTGCTGGTATTTCTGAGCATGCCAACACAGTGGTCTCAACTGGAGAAGTGGTACAATTATGGATTTGCTAGAGAATAAGCACAAACGCAGGGAAAGGGAAAAGGGAAAGGAAATTTGAGTGACTCACTCAAATTTTGAGTTTGAATTCTCATTTAGGTGACTAATTACTTTTTTTCCCCATTCTTGAAAGACCTTGTATTGAATAAGGAAACAAACCAGGCTGGGCTGAGTAACCCCCTGCACCCAAAGAGGCTGGGCCAGCTGATGGGGAAGCAGACAAAAACCCAGGAGTGGCAGGGGACAACAGGCTGCTATGAACATGGGGACAGGCCAAGAGCTGGGCTTGTTCACCTGGGAAGAGGAAAGCAAAGGGGGTTCCTAGTGCTACCTATGACTATCCAGCAAGAGGGTGGAGAGAAGCTGGAGCACAACTTCTTGCTGGTCACTGCAGGTGACTTTCAGCTTCTTGCTGAAGCTTGGGGGTGCACAGGGACAGGACAAGCAGCGATGGACAAGCTGGGACAAGTAAAATTCAAATTAGATATTAGGAAAAAAATTGTCATCATGAAGGCGATAACAGTGAACCCAAAGAGGCAGTGGGATGTCTATCCCTAAGGATATTCAGCATATGGCTGGGTGAGGTCCTGAGCAACTTGATCTAATGGACCTGCTGGAGGGTACTGGACCAGGGACCTCCAAGGTCCCTTCCCACTTGTATCCACTTTTGGTCCTGTGAAACAATTTCATGCAACTTACTGCTATGTACTTTCCCTTCTCCCTGTCAATTCGGGCTGGGGGACACACTGCAGTGGTGCTATTACTGAGGACGCACAGGGCAAGTGGTGAGCATCCCCCTGCACTGGCCGTGCAGGAAGGGGACAGGACCATGCAGATGGATGGAGGGGACACGGGATGGGCAAATAGGCTGCCTTCCCTCAAAATATTTCCAACTGAGCAGCGGGGAGAAAACACTTCTTCTGGTTGGCTTTAAGTCACAGGATGTGCGAGGATTACTTGGCGACCTGGCAGGCACAGGCTTCCCAGAGAATTATTTTCATATCCATGGCGTCTGTTTAAGTGACTCACTCAAATCTATTTAACTGTTCAAGGTGAGTAACATTCAGCAATAGGAAGCTGAAGTACCACAACTTCACCAACACTATGGCCGGAGTCACCCCGGTGAGCAGAGCAGCGCTACAGGTCAAGATGTGATATTTAAGAGGACGGGCTGGGCTCCCCACATCCCACAGCTGACCCGAGACATCTGCTCTGTTCCTGCTGGCTCTGTGCACAGAAGGGGAGCAGGGATGCCCCCATGGCCAGCAGCACTGTGGAGCCGGGTACCCAGGCTGGGAGGGGAGAAGAGGCTTTGGTCCACGGGCGAGACGGTGCCCAGAGCTGCCATGCAGGATGCTCCTTGGGGTGAGGGGACTCCTGCCTGCAGCCCAACATCCAGCATTGCCATTCACCATCACCAATAAAGGAGGAGGGAAAAAGCCTCCAAACTGCACAGCAGCGAGGAAGGTGGCAGCAGCAGCAGGTCCCAGACCTCCACCCTTCAGAGTTAACTGACACCCACCCATTGCAGCATGCCTCAGCGTGCCAATACACACAATACGGTTCTCAGCCGTTGAAGCCTCCTCACTCACTTATTACTCAGATTAATAAACCTTCGCCTCTTTGTGACCTGCAATTTTTTACCGACAACAGGCAACCAACATAATCAAGAAAAGTACAATTTCAAACTAACTCATAACTGAGTTCCCTGACAAAGCTGGGAAAACCAATCTTTTTGGCAAAGACTTTGCTTTTTCAATAAAAAAATTAAGAAGATCCTGATTACAATTCCCCAAGGAAATTTCAAAAAATAAACCTTTTTTGCCTTAAAACGTCTGTCTCTTGCAGGTTACCATTGTTGTGCCTGTTTATCTTGGCACATATATTTACAAAATGTAGGGTACTTTTTAAAGGTGAATGCAAAGAGGAAGCACAGACCTTGCAGCCCTATGAGCTACCCAGTTTCTGGGAGCACACCATAAGAGGTCCTTCCTAGGGAGCTACGGAGTTGATTGAAACATTTGCCATAGTGTTTCATGGAGCTAAAGTAATAAAAATGAATCCTGTTTTAAAAACCACCAGGGAAGAGCTTGGCTAGAAAGGCTGTTCCAGCCCCAGGATGGTAACTACTGACAAGTTAGCCTTACCTCCATGCCCAGTAAGATCATGGAGCAGATCCTCCTGGAAGACATGTTGAAACATATGGGTGACAGGGAGGTGATGAGACACAGCCAACATGGCTTCACCAAGGGCAAATTGTGCCTGACTAAGCCTGTGGTCTTCTAAGATGGAGGGGCTGCATCAGTGAACAAAGGAAGAGCTACAGAAGTCATCTATCTGGACTTCTGTAAGGCCTTTGACCTGGTCCTCTTTTTCTTGCCTCTTATTTGGAGAGACATGGGTTTAGTGGATGGACTATAGATGGAGAAGAAATTGGGTGGATGGCCACATCCTAATTATTGCATTCAGTAGCTCAATGTCTAAGTGGAAACCTGTAACGGGTGATGTCCCTCAAGGGTCTGTGCTGGGACCAATACTATTTCACATCTCCATCAACAACACAGGCAGTGGGATCAAGTGCACCCTCAGCAAGTTTGCAGGTGACACTGAGCTGAGTGGGGCAGTCAATACGCTGGGGGGAAGGGGTGGCATCAAAAGGGACCTGGACAGGCTGGAGGAGTGGGTCCATATGAACCTCATAAAGTTCAGTCAGGCCAAGCACAAGGTTCTGCACCCAGGTCAGACAACCCCCCAGCACCAGCACAGACTGGGGGAAGGAGGGAGGGAGGGAGGGAGGGAGAAGGACTCTCCGCAGAGAAGGACTTTCCAGCTGAAGTCTTATTTGCCGGAAAGATTCAGGGAATCAATGACCTCTATGTAGTCCTTTAGATCCCAAAGGCTGATGTTCCTTCTTGGAAACAGAGTTCAGAGACTGACACTGCAATTTGTTTATTCAAGCTAAGTAAAACAAGATGAAAAAAAAAAGTAGACACTCCCTTTGCAAGATGCTGACTCAACCCCTTCTTAATTTTCTAGAATTTTTCCAACTCTGATCAATACAACCAATGGCAGCAGGTATGACAGAATGAGGGAACACACAAAACACACAAAAGGCATGGGCAGGAGAGAGCTGAGCAACCACCACCCTGAGCAGAGCCAGGATTGTCCCTTCCACACAAAAGGAACACAAGGAGCTCCAGCTGCTTGCTGAGCTGCAGAAATAGGACACAGCGATGCCGTCCATCTGCCTTCGCCAGGAGCGAGGGCACAGGAGACATTCATTACCACCGTGAGGGTGCAACAGCCCTGGGATTTTTAACTTCCAGCCTGTCACGAGTGATGGATCCTGCTCAAGAAGCAGCAGGAAGAAAGAGATGCTGA